GGCAGCAATGGGCGCCTACCAAAGACAATTGTGGAACAAGGTCCTGCTAGTTTTGCAAACTGCACCTGAAGATACTAGGCTGCAGCTCTCATTGTGCACCTGGAAGCAACAACACTGGCTAAGCAACGATTGGTGTCGTGTCATACAGCTGATGCTGCTTCCAAATCTCTGACATCGGCAATCGCTCTTAGGAGACATGCCTGGCTGTGCTCTGCAAGCATCAATGATGACAGTGGGTTCCATATTGAGGAGCTTCCATTTGATGGCGCTGGGCTGTTCAATGAGAAAACTGTTGAGGTGATGGAGAATCTGCATAAGATCAGAAAAACGGCTAGATCTTATTATGTCCAGCAGCCCAAATACCAACGGCAACAATGGCATAAACCTATCACTTCTTACCATTCGTATCAACAATCATATCAACAGGCCTACCGTCAGTATAAACCTCCTCCAGAAAGATCTAATCCTCCTCCATCTTCCTCTGCCACTACCTCTTTCCGAGCTCAGGCTTTGGGTCAATGCCGTCACAATTTCCGTCTCCCTGCCAAAAAGGGCAAGCAATATCTTTGATTGTCTTCTACTGAATCTTTCTTTCAACCTATCCCACCTTCCTCATCTAGCCCCTTTTTTCGACAAGTGGTCCTCAATCACCAAGGACACTTGGGTGCTAGCCGTCATATGTTTTGGTTACCTGTTAGAGTTCTCAAATCTTCCTCTCGGTTATATCAAAATCACATCTCATTCATCTGCTCTAGAGGAAGAAGTCTCCATTCTTCTCCAGAAATATACTATTGAATTCATTTCTTCTCAGGAAGCACTGGACGGCTTCTATTCCTGATACTTCACAGTTCCCAAGAAGGATGGAGGTCTGCGGCCAATTCTAGATCTCAGGTGTCTGAATACTTACCTTCGTCCGAGACGTTTCAGAATGGTCACTTTAGAATCCATTGTCCCTCTTCTCTCTCCAGGTGATTGGTTTGTCATGATAGAGTTACAGGACACTTATTTTCATGCTTCCATACACGAGCACCATCGCAAATATCTCTGATTCGTGTTCAAGGGATCAGTGTATCAATTCTGCGCTCTGCCATTTAGGCTTGCCACCGCCCCAAGAACTTTTACCAAGTGTCTAGCTCCAGTAGCGGCCTATTTGTGTCTAAACAACATCATGGTCTTTCCATATATAGACGACTGGCTGATCGTAGCAGGCTTTTATGCCAAGGCACAAGAGGACACAACCTTTGCGTTACAAACTCTGGCAGATCTGGGACTTCAAGTCAACTTTACAAAGTCCCATCTTCAACTGTTTCAAGTCGTGGACTACATTGGCACAGTTTTGGACTCCAACAGATCGAGAGTCTCCCTCCCTACCGAGAGGATTATCAAGTTACGTTGTGCTATTCGCCCATTTCATCCGGGCGCCAAGGTGTCGGCCCATCACACACAACATCTCCTAGGTCTTATGGCTTCCACCATGTCTGTTCTTCCTCATGCTCAGCTGAAGATGCATTCACTGCAAACATGATATCTCTCTCAGTTCGACCCACTATGGCACAACCTTGCCAAACGTCTACGGATCACTCCAGAGTTATCTCACCAGCTAACATGGTGGACATTCAGGCCGCATCTTATGATTAGTCGACTGTTCAGACCCGTTCAACTGACTGTTCAGGTTATAACGGATGCAAGCACAACAGTATGGGGTGTGCATTGTGGCACTCACAAGATCCACACTATGTGGTCTGACTCAGAGAACCTGCTGCATATCAATCATCTAGAAATGGTAGCAGTAATCAAGGCCCTTCGCAGTTTCTATCCGCTGGTGGTCGATCGTGGAGTATAAGTGGCTACAGACAACATGACCACTCTGTACTACATAAAACAAGCAGGGAGGCACTCGTTGTTTCTCTGTTACTTAGCAATCCACCTATGGGAGTGGTGTTACGGTCACCACATTTTCCCCGTCGCCATCCATGTGGCAAAGGAGGACAACGACGTGGCCGATTGCTTGAGCCGTCTGACCACTCAGATGCACGAATGGGTCCTCGACAACTCTGTGTTTGCCCAGATCTGCAGAAGATGGGGCACACCAGCTATCAACATCTTTGCCAATCAGTTCAACACGAAGTGTGATCAGTTTTGCTCTTGAGCAGGAAGAGGCATGGGCTCCTTGGGAGATGCCTTTATGGTGAAATGGGATGAGGTTCTTCTCTATCTCTTTCCTCCTATCCCACTAATTCAGAGGACAGCAGTCAGAATTTGACAGTTGCGGGCAGATGCCATCCTGGTGGATCCATGGTGGCCTCGGCAGCCATGGTTTACCACCCTCAAAAAAATTGCGACAGATTACCTGAGATTGCCCCCCCAACCATTGCTCCTGACTCAGGATGGAGGCAACGTCTGTCACCCAGATATAGAATCTCTCCACCTCACAGCTTGGAGGATTCCCCCACTATAAAAGAAGTGCTTGAACGGGTTAGGAAGTCTTCAACCAAATTTCTGTACTCTTATAAATGGTCAGTGTTTGCTAAGTTTGCTGAGACCACAGGTTTGGTCACTGTCCCAGTTTCTGTAAGGACCCTCCTTACTTTCCTTTGTTATTTGTTTGATATGAGTCTAGCACATTCCACACTTAAAGTTTATGTGTGCTGAAGGGACAGAACGGCATCCACTGAAGTAGGTGAAAAGGAGATGTAGAGCTGGGTGTCATCAGCATACTGATGCCAGGAAGCCCCACACCTGATAACCCCACCCAGCGGCCTCATATAGATATTATAAGTTGCATACAAAGTTTTTAAAATGTCAGAGCCATATATATTTCAGGAAAATGTGTGTCCTAAGTCTTGAGTGATTTAATAATTCCTGCTCTGTGGTTGAAATGTCTGAGAGATTTTTTAAATTTTAGACAAGTTGATGAACCTCTGTGCTTCCTTAATGTTAGTTTCTTAGCTTTGAGTTCTGGGGCATCAGAGGTGACATCAGAAAGATTTAGGCTTTCTGTAATAAAACAGCTCTTAGAGAAAAACATCTTTACATTTTGAAATGATAGTTTTATCTCAATCCACTCTTGCTTTAACCCACATCTTACTTTATACTGCAATACACAATTTGTCTCGCCATGCCACATAGATAGGGCTGTTTATGCCCAGTTTTGCTAGAAAGCCCTGCTGTGGTTGCCTGCTTACTAAGAATCTCAGATGGTGGCTACTGGCAGCATAGTTCTGTCACATAAACTGGAAAGGGCAGGTAGATTAAATAGATGTGGATGGCTTGAACCCTTCAATATCTTTGTGAAAGTAGTAAGTTTTTGTCAAGTGGCTTCTCCAGTAATTTTGGATAATATTGTCTTTGTATAATATCTTAAAACAGTTGTGACCACATCTAAGTTTTCATCCCATTTAGAGTCAATCTGTTGAATCAGTGGGGCTGACATAAATGTTGACTAAGGGCTTGCCTACATGGGCATATTTTGAATAAACTAATGTAGGCTAAGTAAGATTGCTCAGAGTTGGGCAGAGTTCTGGTCCTTGCATGCGGATGGCACATGCGTCTCAAATGTCATATGCATTATACTATTTGGTATGGCTCCTTCCGCTGTCATTTTCCTATATTGTAAAGTGGCTTAAGAAGACAGGCACGTCACAATATTGGGAGAATAAACAGTTCCTCTTCTTTGTAGAGGGACAGAGAACATTTAAAAAACTGCATTGTATTAAGACAGTGCTGAGGTGCTGCATCACTTATAAACTTTTTTAAAAATTGAAAACTTCCTCCCAGAAGGAGGGGGAAACAAGGTTTTTTTTCCTTTTGTGTGTGTGTGACTTTCTTTAAACTTTGAGTTGAGAACCTACCCACAGCTGAATCTACTGCTGAGTATGGAGCAGAGGAAGTGTTTAATTTCCCAGTATCATGAAGTAGCTATCTTGGCAGCATAAGGCAATATGGCATACATAGGAAATAAAAATGGAGTGATCCTACTCCCATCGTTGTAGGCATCCTTCAGTCTCAAGAGACTATGGTATCGTGCTGTGTATGGAGGTCTTGGAACAGTGTCTTGTGTGGCTGAGAAGGCCAATTCGAGAGTGACAATCCCTTCCACACTGGAGACAAATCCAATCTGTCCCCTGTCCAGCTCCCAGGTTTTGCTTGTTTCGGGACTGCCTCTTTGCCTCGGTCTGCTGTACAAGTGTCTCTTCAAATTGGGAGAGGCCATGATGCACCGCCTGCCTCCAGGCTGAACGCTCAGACGTCAAGGCTTCCCATCTGTTGAGGTCCATTCCTAAGGCCTTCAGATCCCGCTTGCAGATGTCCTTGTAACGCAGCTGTGGTCTCCCTCGGGGGCGGCTTCCCTGCACTAATTCTCCATACAGATCTTTTGGACTCCGACCATTAGACATTCTCAACCCAACGTAGACGGCGCTGTTTCAATATTGTATACATGCTGAAAATTCCAGCTCGTTCTAGGAGTACTCTATTTGGAACTTTGTCCTGCCAGGTGATACCAAAAATGCGTCGGAGACAACGCATATGGAAGGGGTTCAGCTTCCTCTCCTGCCGTGCACAAAAGGGTCCAGGACTCGCTGCAGTATAGGATCCTACTCCCACATAAAGTAGAAACCTAACGGGAACCCAGAAAGGTGTAGGTAGGAATGTTCCAGGGACAGGCTGGTTCATTCAAGCAAATACGTTGTGTGATCACAAAAAGGATCAAACCAGCCTGTCCCCACAATGAACGAACAATGGGACAAATGCTTGTCTGATTGCATCCTTAACAACTACAATTCATTTTAGTTGGAACTGATAGTTGGATATAGCACTTGACACAATGCATTGTGCAATTGAATAATATTCCATTTTCAGATTAAAAATTTGCTTTTAAGGTAAAAATATTTTGCGCCTGTTTTTAAAAGTTGTCAAAGTGTAATTTGTAGGTGCCAAAGGGAGGTGGAAATATATATAGATATAAGTATTATATTATCTATACCTTTTTTCCTTTCCAGCGTGGATCTGATGAGCTTCTTCCTTCTGGCATCGCTTACGGGCCTCTTACCATGAGCAATTCTACTCCTGCTACAGGTATGGCTATAGAAATATTTTGTGATACACTTGCACAAAGTATTTGTTTGGTCTCCTAGGAAAATGCAATCTCTCAAGCTAGTTATTTGTAAGGGTTTATCTGTTCTTTGCTATATTTATGCAAACAAACTCATGTCTGCTCCAACACAATGTGGTTAAGATGGCAGCCTTTTGTGATAGTTCAGTTTGCAGTAATGACAGAAGGTCTACCACATTTGTTTGTTACAACAGGGATGATGGGAGGTGGGATAACGTCAACAATTCAGTTCCCTTAGATGAGTATTGAAACCCACAATGTAATGCTGTTCTATCTGTTAACTATAGTTAGACAGGGAGAGCCCTCGGAGGCTCACTTGTCCCTCCCTCACTTCTTTTGTATAGGCATTCTTTTCCTGGCTATTCCCAGCTTCAGTTAATGAGCTAACTATGGTTGATGTTAAATCAGCACGAGAGTTTTTACTGAGTGTAGATGACATTGCTTATTTTACAAACCATCTTAACTTGAAAAGAAGAAGAGAGGAACTCAAACCCATCGAGCAGTCCTGATTTAATAATGGTTAGAAGATTGGTTGGTGTCACATAGATATTAAGATGCCAGTTAGTACAAATGTGAAAAAGGTATGATTTAAAAATGTTGTAAATGCTGCCAAATGATTTAACCGTTGAAGTTGTTGAGAGGTTTTGACATATCTAAAGAGTAGATCCAAGTTGGATTTTATTTAAATCAAATTAATTTAGATCACAGTTTAATTTTTAATGGATTTTTGGTGATTTCATTTAAATATATATATATATTCTTTATTTAAATTGTGATTTAAATCAATTTGATTTTTATCCACCCTGTATCAGATCCATTTGGATCTCCATAATATAGAAAGCATTGTCATGGAGAATAGTCTCCTAAATTTAAATATTCTTCTAATATTCAGAAAAAGATGTTTAACCAGTCATTCAGGGTGCTGTAGTCATATGGAAAAAAGCTAAATTGAGTGAAAAATAGCACCAGTTCAAGTTTTGGTGGTACAGGCACTCTCACTTAACAACCAAATTCCGTTCCTATGACTAGGTCGTTAAGCGGATAGGTTGATAAGTGAGGAGCAATAATACAATATACAAGAGTAATAAATTGCATGCCATGGAGAAGGTTGTGGCCAAAAATGCAGACATCCATTTACAAGGGCTGTAAAGGGTCAAAACTCTGAGCACTCTTTAACAGGTAGACCGTTAAGTGAGGAGTGCCTGTATAATCTTATTTAATCAATCTCAGCAAACAACTGTAAGCAGCAGGTTTTTTGTTTTTGTTTTTTGGAATGATTATGTATAGTGATTCTGGTTTCCGTTTTGGAAGAAACGGATTATAGATCCATTGGTTTTATGGAGAAGAGCATTTTATTATGACTGGCAAATTAAAAAATTCTCTGGGGCAAAGTAAAATTATATATAAGCATGTAAACAACTGAGAATCTCCAAAAGCAAAATATTTTTTCAAAGAAAATTTCTAAATATCTCTAGTGAACGAAAAGATTGAAATAGAAGAAAAGAGAATGTCCTCATTCTTTTAGATGCATGTTTACATCCATCCTATGGGAAATACGATATTTTTCCATGTATAAGATGCCCCCATGTATAAGGTGCCCCCTGCTTTTCTAACCCAAAATTAAGACATCTAAGTGGGGCTTAGCAAGTGGAGGGGAAAACAGGGATCAAAGCCCTGCAGGATCACTTTGATCCCTTCTATCCCCTCCACTTGTTTTTTCTCTCCTCAGCTTACATCCGTTTATAAGATGACCCTCAATTTTTAGTCTAAAGGTTTTAGACAAAAGCATAGTCTTATAAATGGAAAAATATGGTATCTTGCACAGTGACCGGCTGGTTCATAAATAACGTGTCATTATCAACCGGGCAGATTTGCTGCTAGTTTTTCATTGGACAGTGGATACCAAACTCTTTAGACTCGTGGCTCCTTTGACTTATTGGCCACTGGCCAAAACTCCCCAGTACAATACGATTGGCATATTCATGGGATCAGTGCCCACAGTTTCATTTATCCACTGCCTAATGATGATGATAATAAAAAAATGTAATAATAATAGGATAAAAAAACACAGGAACATGGAAACTAATGAACATGCATCACACACTACATCCAAAATGTGGACAGATTATATTTACCACAAAAAAATTGGAGGCTGTGGATTACTGCAAATAAAGGGGGTAGTAGAGGAAGAAAAAAGAAGCCTAAATGATTATATCAGTACAAGCAGAGAAAAATTACTGAAAGCAGTGAAAATGGAGAATATTTTGAAAACAACAAAAACAAAGGCTCAATATAAAAAACAACAATTTGAAAAGAAATTAAACAGTTGGAAAAATAAACCACTACGTGGACAACACCTGAGAAATATTGAGGGAAAGCATGATCATAATTCAACATGGGCATGGCTAAAAGTGGGTACCCTTAAGAAAGAAACCAAAGGATTGATTTTTGCTGCACAAGAACAACAATTTTAACCGTGCCTGGAGTTTCTGAACAACAACAACAACCAGCACAACCATCACCAACACCAAGGTATATTAGTAGAATTGGCCACTAGATGGAATCAGAGACTAGGTTATATACAGCTTAAGGGAAATGCCCTCATGCCCTGACTTCTCCTAGGGAAGCAGCTTCTGGAAAAATGAAGAAGCTGCATTTGGGGGTGGGCAGAATGGTCCTTTGTGAAAAGGGGGGCAGGAAACCCAGTCCTTCAGTAGGACTGGGCCCAGGGTTCCCCCTCTGCACCATGTGAGGACACCAGGAAAACTACAAGTGAGTGCTGTAGTATACTATGTGTAGGGGTGGGGGAAAGGAGGAGAGGATTCCATGGTGCTCATGGGTTGGTTTCCTAGTGTGCCATGGAACTGCAGCACACAGTTTGGGAACCACTGTCATATCAGGTGAGCTGGCAACAGGAGACTTCCCCACTTGAGAAACAAGGGGGAAAAATTGTGGCCTATTGATGCTGCTAAGGCTGCAATTACTTTGGATCCACAGTTGTCGATCTAAGAATCTACCTCTGCTCTCAGTACCGATGCTTAGGATGTGGTTTGGGAGGTTGAATGCCTAAGCCCTTCTGTGCAGATTGTTGCCACCTCACTGAGAGCACCATCATCTTGTTTACTCAACAGTCTCCACACCTGAGATACCACAGTAGGGAAAGCAGGTCAAGATTGCAATCATTCTCACAATCACCACCATGTCCATATTGACTACACTACTCGGGGTCTCTGTCAACAAGTTCTTAATATTATGAGAATGCTTACTATGAAGCCTTGTTTTGCCCTTCTTGCTTTCTGTACGGAGACTTGATCTAGTCCTCTCAGTCATACAGGAACCACAATTATCTCAAGAGTACCTCTCCACTGCATGTCTGATGGCTTCTTCTACCAGTACTTTACCATATCCAAAAGAGATGGAGGGCTATGTCCCATCTTGGATCTATATGCCCTGAACAATTTTATCTCCCCAAAACATTTTTGGATGGTGACATTATAATCCATTTCCCCCCCACTTCACTGAGGAGACTGGTTTGCGTCCAAAGACCTACAAGACACTTTTCTATTTCAATTAATCCATGGCATCATTGCTTCCTAAGCTGCTTCATCGACAGTCAGGCCTACAACTTCTGGGCACTTCCCTTTGGTCTATCCATATCCTCAAGAGTTTTCACCAAGTGCATGGCGCTGGTAGAAGCATTTCTCAGAACCCAAGGTGTCACCTACATCAATGATTGGCTCTTAGTAGCTCACAACAAGGATACTCTAACTAGCAACATTGCATTCACCGTACAGCTGCTCTCAAGTCTTGGGCTACAAGTCAGTACAGAAAAGTCTCACCTCATCTCATCTCAGACCATCAACTACATTGGAGCTCTTCTCAATGCTACTACTGCATGGGCCCTTCTGCCTCAAGCACAAGTAGACACTATCATTCGCTCCAGACTGATTCTTGTACCACACACCTTGGTTCACTCAGTGCAACGAGTGCTAGGCCTCATGGCTTCCAGGACAACAGTCCTGCCCCACTCCAAGCTGTGGATGCGGCCACTACAATCCTTCTACCTCTTTGCCTATAATGACAAGTGGGACCCACAAGACAAAAAGATGTTTCTTTTGCCCTACCTCAGGTGACAATTTTGATAGCCACCTTTACCTCAGTGTCCCTTTTCACCAGTCACATCCTTCCTGTTTCATAGTTGCAAATACCAGCGTGACAGAATGGGGCCCCACTGCCGCCATAAAGAGAAACAAGCCGCATGGTCTGCGCATGAGAGGACCCATCACATCAACTTCCTCAAACCTCTTGCTATCTTCAAAGCGCTCCAAGCTTTCAGAACCATGATACGGAGCCGTACTGTCCAAATCGCCATGGACAACAGCACAGCAATGCATTACCTCAACAAACAGGGAGAAACCAAGTCCCTAAGCCTCCTCTACATCTCAGGGAATGGTAGTAATGGTGTATTGCCCATCAGATTCTCCCTGTGGCAACTTACATCTCAGGTACAGACAATGAAATGGCAGACAATCTCAGCCACACAATATCTCTTGCGCAAGAGTGGGAACTTTCCAAAAAGTATATGCTCAACTAGTCTCCTGCTGGGGGCAAGCCTACAGTGGACATCTTCACCAATGTTGTCAACTCCAAATGCCCCTGTTACTGTTCCTGAGCGGGCAGGGATGTGAACTCTCTCAGAGATGCTTTCATCATAAACTGGACTGGAACCCACTTAAACATGTTCCCTCTGATCCAACTGATGATTGTCAAGATCCTCCTAAGATTGCTCAGAGGTGATATTCATCATCCTATGGTGACATTTTCAACTCTGGTTTACCACTCTTCTCCTCACAGTGACCAACTGCTGGCGACTGTCCCCACACCAAAACCTCTCCCGTCACCACAGCAAGGTACTTTACCCATATGTCATTCTTCTGAAGCTCACTGCCTAGAGGGTATGCCTCTCCTCGCAGATACCCTAAGCCAAGTGAGATGTCCTTCCACCAACCACCTATATGCATATAAGTGGAAGCATTTCCAGCTTTATCCATCAACACAAGTCTACCACACTCACCACCATCCCTTTCCACTGTCTTAACCTTCCTGCTCCACCTCAAGCAAAAGAGACTTTCTATCTCCTCTATTAAGGTCTTTTCTGGTAGCTATAGTGGCACATCAACCAGCGAACTACCCATTGTCATTTCTCTTCAAACAAACTATCAAAAAATTCCTTGTCTCCAGAATGCCTATCCAGATGTGAGACCCCCCATGACCCATGGTTTCTCCCACTAGTTTTATCACAGCTCACTAGACACCCTTTGGAACCACTGGCCACAACTGATCTCTGCCTCCTAACGCTCAAGGTGGCACACTCCTTGTGGCCCTCACATTGGCCCATCAGGCTGCAGAGCTCACTGTCACGTTCCCGGGGGTTTCAACAGGCAAAAGTCCAATAAGCCAGCCCAGTATCAGAAGTCCAGAAGATGCAAAGTACATACAGTGGTGCCTCGCATAGCGATCGCTCCATTGAGCGATGAAATCGCTTAGTGACTGACTTTGTGATCACAAAAGTGATTGCTTTGCAATGGCCCATATGTTTTTTTTCACTTTGCGATGATCGCAGGGAAGCGATCATTGCAAAGCCCCCATTTTCCAGTAAAAGGACGGCGGAGAGAGAGAAGAAATGGAAGCCGCCGCCGGTAGCACATGGAAGTAAAAAAAAATAGAAGGAAATGCCTTTTTTTCCTTTCGGCCCCCCTCCCTTCTCTCCTCCACCCACCCTTGCAGCCCTGGCCCGCAACCAGCCAGGAAGGCAGGCAGGCCCCGCCGGCTCCGCTCCAAGGACACGTGCCCCAGCGGCAGCCCAGAGGAGGGAGAGCGGAAGGAAGGAAAGCAGGCAGGCAGCAAAGCAAAGGGAGGCAGCCAGGCCCATGTGGCGACGGCGGCTGGGTGCCTTGCGAGCATGCGGAAGAGAGAGCGGACGGGAGAGAGAGAGAAAGGCCGGCCAGATTCTTTCCCCCCCCTCCCCTACCCCTCTCACACACATCATACCCGATCTGACCCGCAAAGCACGTGGGGCTGGCCCGGGTTGCAGAGGCTGAGGCCGATCCCGAGGGCTGGTGCGGCAGCAGCGGGCAGGAGCCAGGAGGAGGAGAAGGTGGAGCCGTGCCAAGGCCAACCCAGCTGCCAGCGGCCCCCGCCAGGGCAGGGCCAGGCCAGGCCCAGAGCGAAAGGAAGCAAAAGGCTGGAAGAGGCGAGCATGTGAAGGAAAAGGAAGGAAGAGGAAAGCGCGTGGGCGCCGGCAGAAAACGGCGGTCTTTAGGGCCTAAACAAAAATAAGGGGGGAAGAGAAGGAGGAGGAGGAGGAAGCAGGATTGGGTGGCAGGGAGGAGACAGCCGGGCATTGGCTGAGGAGCAACCCCATGTGTATGTGTGGGGAGAGTTTTCCAGCCCATAGGAACGCATTAATCGCGTTTTAATGCGTTTCTATGGGCTTTTTATTTTCGCTTAGCGATGTTTTCGTTTAGCAGCGATTTTTTGGAATGAATTAACATCGCTAAGCGAGGCACCACTGTACCAAAATGCCAAAGCCAAAACACAAACCGTAGTCAGAACTCAGAGTCCAAAGCCAAGGGTCCAGAAAACAAGGTACAAGATAAGCAGGAGCGTGTATGCGAGCCAGGGTGTTGACTTGTTGCTTCCACAAGCTTCCAAGCCTCTGAGTGCAGATTTTATAGCAACAACAGTCATCTAAACACTTCATCCTGCTAAAACCAGGGCTGGTCGACTTGATGTTCCTATGGGAAGCATTCATGTGAGCCTTGGATCTTCGTGTCATGAGTCCTTGCCGAAGCTTATTCCTCACTCTGCCTGCTGGGGGAGGAGAATCTGGTGGTGATTCCGCTGTCTGTGATTCTGATTATCCAGCATTTTCCTCAGCTGTAATTAACCTCTCAGATTCCAGATCTTCTGTGGCTGAACTCATGACACTTACAGCCCTTCACTGTGATTCCCTATATCTCATCTTCTCACATAAGTTTACTTTCCACATGAACATTGCCTTCCTACCCAGGTCGCATCTCCTGTCCACATCTCTTAACCCATCGACTTACCTGCCTTCTATCTGTCTCTGCAGATGACCTAGAACATCGACTTACCTGCCTTCTATCTGTCTCTGCTATCTGTCTCTTCATTCCTTGAGTGTTAGATGAGCCTTAGCCTTTTACTTGAACAGGACTTCAGACAAACGACTGAACTTTTCATCTCTTACTAAGGTCCCAGGAATGTTTTCCAAATTGATCTCTCAGGCTATTGCTTTTGCTTGTGAATTAGCACACAATCCCCTACTTGGAACTTCCACAATCACTCCACAAGAGCCATCTCCTCCTCTGCGGCCTTCATCTGAGATGTTGACATGGAAGAGATCTATTGAGGAGCAACTTCGTCCTGTCCAATGACATTTGTCAAACACTATATATTAGACTTGAGAGTTCAAAATGATGCTGCTTTTGGACAAGCTGTTCCACTCTGCTTGGTGTAACTTCCATCTCCAAGATATAGCTCGCTATTTTGTGTCCATACATGGACACCACAGAAAAGAAGACTTGGTTACTTACATAACTATGGTTCTTTGAGTGGTAATCCATGTATCCACGTAATCCCACCCAGCAATCACTCCACAAGAGCCATCTCCTCCTCTGCGGCCTTCATCTGAGATGTTGACATGGAAGAGATCTATTGAGGAGCAACTTCGTCCTGTCCAATGACATTTGTCAAACACTATTAGACTTGAGAGTTCAAAAAGATGCTGCTTTTGGACAAGCTGTTCCACTCTGCTTGGTGTAACTTCCATCTCCAAGATATAGCTCGCTATTTTGTGTCCATACATGGACACCACAGAAAAGAAGACTTGGTTACTTACATAACTATGGTTCTTTGAGTGGTAATCCATGTATCCACGTAATCCCACCCACCTCCCCTCTTGTTTCACCCTTCTCTATTACTTTCTTGTGGCAGACAATTGTGACTGAGGAGAGCGGGGCTGCGCTTGCATGGTGTAAGTTAAGGCACTTTGTTTTTTCGAGGAACTTTCCAAAGCGGTGTCATGTAGGCACACACACCCATTTTATGTGGATACATGGATCACCACTCAAAGAACCATAATTATGTAAGTAACCAAGTCTTCCTTTATAGCTAGAGGTGGCAAAATGTTCCCTGTGGGCTTCATGAGGCTGTGTGGGATCGAAGTGCATCTCCCCAGGCTTCTCCAGCCCCCAGGCAACACCAACAACCCCTGTTAATCCCAGTTTCTGAAAAGTATAAAGGCCTAGAATAGGCCTGGGGAAAGGAGAAATTGATGTATATTGCAAATCTCATCTCTAGAAATTTTTGGAGGGTGCATTCTGGAGTTCGGGAGCAATATATTTTTTTTCCAATATTTTTTTGGGTATAAGCTTTTGAGAGATAATCTGTTGCCCTTTAAGGTTTGGAGGAGAGCACAAATCATGCTAGCCCTTGGTAGCTGTCCATTCCCGAAGTATAGACTAGCAAAAGTTCCATCACTAAAACATGCTGAATCACCATCATTCCTCCTTTGACCTTTTCCATCTTACTTTCCCTCAAACTGCTGATCCGTGATGTTCTTCCCTCTGGATGTTTTTGTCTGATGTTAAAAGACTTTGTTAACTCCTAACAGCTGAATCTCCAAGTAATCAGTTACTGGTTTTTATGCTTGCAAATCTCTCTGTGAAAGAACTAGGTGTAGTAGCAGGTCAATCTGCCGCAACTCTTCTAGTTCTGTTGGTTCAATTATTATGCTTTCTTCAAGTGGCTGTAAGCCAAGAGGGGGCAAAAAACTACCATATTCTTTGGGTTGGGAAGAATACAAACCAATTAAATTAATTTACATCAAGCTTTCAGTTCCTTGGTCTTTCCAAAAGATGGAGAACATTCAGTTTTTAAAATGATAGTTCTTCGATCCTGCAGTCATTGTAGCACTAAGCTAAAAACACCAGAACTAAGTGACCAAACAATAATCCAAAAAGGAAAAAACCAAACCCTTAATGCAGATGCTTCAGATGCTGCTTTTTAGTTAGGAAATGCAGTTCATAATTCGTGCATCTTGTGCTGAAACATTTATTTATGTTTTAGCTAACGGGAATGACAACAAAAAGTTTAAAGGAGACAGATCTCCCTGCTCCCCTTCACGAGTCCTTCATCTCCGTAAAATTCCAAATGATGTCACTGAAGCAGAAGTAATTTCTCTAGGTCTACCTTTTGGCAGAGTAACCAATCTCTTGATGTTGAAAGGAAAAAGCCAGGTATGTAATACTTTGCAGTATCAAAAGTACAAGAAAAAGTAGTTTATATAGCACAAGGTGTTTTGACTAGTGAATACAGTAGAGCTGATAATATGGTTTATTCATCCATCTTCCGTCAGTGGCTGATGTGTTTGAAGGCTGATGTGAAAGCCAAACATCTTCCCTTGAAATGAAGAAGTAACTGCTTATTACTGAGCCAAAGCTGAATTTAGCCATGTAATCCCCAGCCAATCCCAAGTGAGGAACATAGTAATGGTCCTGTCGTCTTGTTTTCCTTATGTGTGACAGAGGAAGAGAATATAATGCACAAGTCCAAGGTTCGTTTCTGAAATGAGAAATAGTGCTTCTCTGTATCTCATTACACCCAGCTATTATACAGTAGTAAAGTAAAACACTTGCTAAAATAATTCATACTGTAGTTTAAAGTTGGCCAGACTTGAGAATTGAGCTCACAGTCCTCTCTGCCATGTCCACTCCTACCACAGGATTAGTCCATTTCAGCAGCCTACTTAAGGAGAAAATATAATTTGTTATTGCTATAGTTAAACAGTCAGACATTCTTATAAATGTATAACAAATTATTCAGAAATTTATGTAGTTCTTAATTTATTTTCAGTCCACCTTTACTGCAGAACATTTGCATAGCTTATTTTTTTTTAAAAAAATCTTTTGTTAATAATTTCTAATGTTTTGTAATAGTGTGCATTATGGGAGTAGAACTTAAAATAATGTCAGAGAACTGCTCTGGATCACATCATGATTGCTTCTTTCTCTCAGATGATGGCATGCCAGGAACATATTAAAGCAGGACATTTGTCTGGCAAAACAGTATCCTGGCCTGACCAGCCTTATGTGTGTGGCAATATTACTTACATTTACTTAAGCAAATACTTAACTGCTGCTTTAATTAAATAATTTTGTAGCTGATAATGAAAAATAAAATCTCAAAGTTTTGTTTTGTAAGTAGATACCATGCTAGGGTAAATCACATGTTGTAATTGTGTAGGACTTTTATTGGTGGAAATGATTTTACATACAAAACGTTCCTCTGTTTGTGTTAATTGCAGGCTTTCCTAGAAATGGCTTCAGAAGAAGCTGCTGTTACTATGGTGAACTACTACACTCCCGTTACTCCTCACCTCCGCAGCCAGCCTGTTTATATTCAGTATTCCAATCACAGAGAATTGAAGACTGACAATCTACCCAATCAGGCTGTAAGTATGCTACTTTTAAGGGGGGAATGACATTTATTAAAGCTCATTAATCTGCAAAAGGATTTTTTTAACCACTTAAGCATTGTATGGTCTTTAAGCTTCTGTTTGCCTAAGTGAAGGCAGGCTAGTCTCTTGATATTAAGCTGAGACAATCGAGCTTCACTTATGTTGCTACCTTGGACATGAAATGGTTGGGAATATCCATAATGGGTTATGGTTGAAAATGGCAAGCTGGAGATATCACTGTTGTCTTTGTTTCCCATCTTGGATACCAGGAACCTATGGTATTTTGTGCTATGGAATTTTTTGTTTTGTTAAAAATTCAAGGTATCTCCCCTTTTCTATACTCCATTTACCATCCGCCAGCAATTTTTAAAATCTGGTTTGAGCATTTACTGTCAGTCCTTAAATTCTAGAGCTGATTGTTTGCATAATGGAATTCAGCCTTCCTGAATTTGTTGTCTTTGACGGTTTTGTTTTGAAACCAACCGTTCATACTGGTAAAGCATGCAAGGAAAAAAAAGCATGTCTAACTAAAATACTTTTGAGAATAAAACACAGGGAAAATAGATCAAATTGTATGCTTTTCTCTGTAGATGACTCCTAAGGCTTAGCCTGTTCTGTTAGATGCTTCCACAATCCAAGCATTAAGGCTTTATTCCTCTCCAGCAGGCCATCCCGTGCTGACATGGCCCACAAAATACTTGCTAGCCAGCTTACCCCCTCCACGTATTCTGCTGCCATTTGAAGAAAGAAAGGAGAAGTTGAATGCAGCAGTAGAAGGGAGTGTGAAGGCAATGGCTGCTGATCTAGCAACACCTCCAGTCTTCTCATAAGAAAGAAAAGCCAGCAGATGATGGTGGTTGATACAGCAGCAGCCTTCTCGTGACATAAAAGAAGGAGGTTGTAGCAGATGTGGCAGATATATCCTCAGGCAAGCTGTATAGAGAGATAGCTGGTTTTTTTTAATGATGTGCCCATCCTTCCCATAGTTCCTTGTCTCTGAGCCCTTTGAAGTTATACATTTAATAAAACTAGCTGGCTCTGTATAAAGCTACCCTGTTTCCCTGAAAATAAGACCTAACCTGAAAATAAGCCCTAGTATGATTTTTCAGGATGCTCGTAATATAAGCCCTACCCCCAAAATAAGCCCCAGTTAAGTGAAACCCCACCCGCCACCAGTGTGCAGCATTGTGCAGCAACCAGAAGATGACATGACTGTAAAATAAAATATTCCCTGAAAATAAGCCCTAATGTGTTTTTTGGAGCAAAACTTAATATAAGACCCTTTCTTATTTTCGGGGAAACACAGTAGTAGTCATAGTAGCAGCTCTGTAGAATTCCCCAGGCCACAGTGGCAAGGGACAGACCATAGTGCATCCCTTGGTCAGAGTGCCCCAGTGTCCAAGGCAGCTGCTTGGCTGCAGGTAGTGCTAAGGCTGACCATGTTTCCCAGCCATATATCAACCAAATATTTAATACAGTGGTGCCTTGACTTACGAACTTAATTGGTTCCAGAACTCCGGTCGTAACTCGAAATGGTCATAAATCGAAGGACCATTTCCCATAGGAATGCACTGAAGCGCAATTAATCTGTTCCAGCCGAAGGAAAAAAAATCGGGGAAAAAAGAAAGAAAAGCAATCAAGCATGCAGGTCCGATTGGAAATGCACAGAAAACAAATGGAGCTGATCAGAAATGCATAGAGAACAAAGAAGGCAGGTTGGAAATGCAAAGAAAACAAAGGAAAAAGCAAGGGAAGCATGCAGGACCCATCAGAAATGTGAGAAAAAAACCAAAAAGCAACCAAACCCCCCAAGACCAGTCAGAAATGGGAAAAAAACACTCAAAAAAGCAACAAAACCCTTGAAGACCCATTGGAAATGCGGGGACCCAACAAACAAACAAACCCTGAAGACCCATCACAACACAGAAACATAATCTCCCCCAGCTCAAAATCATGCTGCAAAAACACCCAGAACAGTTTTTAAAAAGCAGAATACAGCACCTTACCTTACCAGGCATCCCAAAGCCTCCCTGCAAACACACACACACTCACTCAGAAGCAGAAGAAGGCGGTCCCAAGCCTCCTTTGATGCACACTCTCTAATTGCTGTGGCAAAAGAGCTACAAAGAAGCAGCCTTGTCACCACCTGCAGTTAGAAATTTAATTTCCCGCCTTTTCCCTGTCTTTTTCTGTTTGTAAGTGGAAGCTCCGGTTGCAAGTAGAAACAAAAGTTTGTTGCCAGAGCTGGTCATAACTCAAAATGGTCGTATGTCAGGATGTTCGTAAGTTGAGGCACCACTGTAGTCAACTTACTTGAAGAATTCTTTCTGGTGCTTTCCTGATATATTTAAAAGAGCTGGCTGTTATCTGCCCACACACAGAAAAGGGCTTGTTTTTTCTTCCCTTACTAAGCTGTACTGGTTCAGAAACAATGCAGTTTCCCACTCCCGGTCCTTCTCTTTCCTTTTCAGCTATGCATGCTCTTTCTTGTACTACCAAAAATTAAAAAAACCTGAATATCAGAATTTTAGCTTTGGGAAGATGGGAGCATCTCTTTTCCCTCCAGTCCATGTCCATGTCCCCTTAATACCCGAACCCTTGTAGTATTTTACAATAGGATAACCTGATCTCATTTCTTCCTGATGTATTTAGTATTGTTAGAATTTTCATGGGCCATCAGTATTAAAAGGGTGTTTTTGTTTCCCACACCATGGTCTTGTTCTCTGATATCATCTGCTAACACACAAAGAAGGTTCCTTTTTTCTGACACAAGTTTAATTAGGCATATTGTTTTCAATTACTTGAGTCTTACTAGTTTCTGAAAACTATAATCTGATATATATTGTATTATTTACTGTTCTTATTCATAGGATTTTTATGTCCTAAAAGTTTTTGATTACACTATGAGGTGCTTTGGACAAAAGGCAGGACACAACTGAATAAAATAAATCAAAATTAGAGATATAAACAGTGGAATTAACAATATCAATTGGATTGATGCAGTAACTAGGTTTGCTTTAGAACAGATGCCCTCAATGCTAACATGTTAGGCTAGAATGACCTGTTTGGGGGTGATGTCGGGTTGCAGTCCAGAACAACCAGGAAGCACCACGTTGAGAATACAGTGCCTTGCTGAAGAACATCAATTATAATCTCGTCTAACTTCATTGAAAAAAAATCTCTGAAACAAACTAGGAGTTAAGTGAACCTTGAAAACCAGCAATATTCACTAGAAAACCATATCCTCTTGTATTTCAGAATGGAAGATCCAGATGTTTAAATAGATAAAAAGCTGAACATTAATAATGATTTTAAGAAAAAATATTAAAATAGGAAAATATTATTTTTTAAAATGTTTAACCCTAGCTTAGTAATGAAAACTGTTCTGTCCCTTGGCTGGCTCTCTCCTTTTAAACCTTCCTATTTAGTGTTAGAACCTTTAGTTAAGTTTGATTAGACATTTGATAACTAGTTTGATTAGATACTTTTCTAGAACCCCTGTACTCGGTTATTTCATAAAACAGCTTTGCAAAGCATGAATATCCCACTGCTGAATTTTGAATGCAAAAGTTCCTGGTTGAATGATTGGGGGCAGGTAGCACATGCCTTTTCAAACCTTCATCTGTGTTTGCTAGCCTGTTTTATGATACTGTATTTGATCCATTTGGTACCCTGAACATTTGTTTTCATTTGAACCATAAACACACTTGTGGATATATTTGATTTTATATTTGGAAGCCGCCTAGAGTGGTCCGGTGGGGCAGATAGGCAGGGTATAAATTAAATAAATAAAAATAAATAAATAAATAAATATATGTGTATGTGAGAGGGAAATAAATGTGGTATTGCACCATCTTATCAGTATGTTCTCTGGACTGAGAAATGGTCGTATGTCATTTTTCTTCTAGCTTCTCTCCATAATAGTTAAGGTCTTAGATAGCACTGGATTATAAACATATAACACTGTTGTCAGTACACGATTAGTCTCTATCCACCTGTCCAGCCAGGCAAAGAAAAGACAAAGTTTTGTTCACTAAGCCAGAAAACCTCTGAGGAAGTCAATTCTCTTTGATGTTAAGGGTGATGAATTAATGTCACTCACATTGATGGCAAACCTATGGTATGCATTCCACAGCTGGCACACGGAGACCTCTCCCTGGGCATGCGAGGGGAGCGCTACCTCCCCCCATTCCCCACAGCCAAACCCAAACTGCACAATTGTAAGCCACCTATCCCTGCTACCTTCCTTGGTTGCGGCACTTGTAAATCAGTTCTTTTAGAGATCGGAGATAAGGCTGCTTTATTGTTTACTGCTGTAGAACAGCCTGGGGCAGTCAGTCCGGCTTGTGAATTACTGTACTTTTTGCTACATAAGATGCACCTGACCTTAAGACGCACATAATTTTTAGAGGAGGAAAACAGGGAAAATATATTCTGAACCAAATAGTGTAATAAAATATTTAATAAACTATAACAGAATAACATTTGAACCATGTAAAGTGAACAGCAGTCAACAGTGGCATTGAGAACCATTACCACTGTCAATGACAAATGGAGAGACTTAAAGCTTTGTGTACTCTGGTTTATGTACCATAAATTTAATTCAAGTACATATAGACCATTATCAGCCAGTGATAAGACCTATACCACTCTACCTATATTTTACATTTCCTTTCATCCACCTCCTCCCCATGCTTATAGAAATGTCTCAATGACAGATGAGATTGTTGTGCAACTCTGCCCAGCTACAGCTCAAGCCTATATTAAGTTAGAAATGGTTTGTCTGATTTGGCACTGCATTGAGAGGTCCCTTTTAGTTGTGTGGAGGATAAATAGTGGAATTAAACTATTTAACAGCTGGTTTTCCTTATTTACTTTAGGTTATGCAAAAGAACAG